ACCCCTTAATACCATCGAAGTACTCTAGAAGCTGGAGCCAGTAAAGTGGGATGTCATCCGTCCGCTGGTCGGGGTAGATGAAGGACCCAATGCACCACAAGATAAGGGCCCTCGCCCTCTGCTCGTACACGATGTCCGGTAGTCCTTCTTGCAACTCAGTCTTGCAAGATCTCTCCAAAACCCCGATATGCAACCACTGGCCTTTAATCTCCCACGTGCTAGGGTCCTGTGCTGCTTGCTCTGCCTCGGTGGCGGGAGGATCCTGAGAGTGGTTTTTCCATATTAAAAATGATAAAATTGAGTTGACATATATTTAAAAAAAAAATTAAAGAAAAATATACCTGAACGTAAGGCTGAACCCCTAGCAAATCCTTGCACCTCTCTCGCCACTATAGGGGTGATAGCTCTAGAGTCACTCCCAAAATAGTAGCTACATTGATTGGCAGACCGAACAGGACTTGTACGTCCTGGAGCGTGATGGTGGCCTCGCCGAAATCGAAATGGAACGTATTCGTCTCTGGGCGCCACCTCTCCAAGAGAGCAGTGATGAGGGCATTGTCGGCTTGGACTCGACCCATTCGAAACATGGGGCCGAAACCAGTCCGGTCGATGGCCCTCCAAACCGAGAGTGTCTGCATTGGCACTACCTTCCAGAACTGAGTGTCGAAACGACGGTTTGTGAGCGTCGTGTCACGAACTCCCGACACATTATCAAATACCGCCTGTGCCCGATGTTTGTACTGGAGATATAGAAGACTCTCATCCCTCGGTCCGAGATGCACACTGTACTGCTGAGGCTGTGAGGAGGACGATGAAGCCATTTATCTACAAACAATACAAAAAAGAATAGATTACGTTAAAGTTATTTATTATCAAACAAAAAAGAAGAGCCATTTATCTACAAACATTACCATTTATCACACAAGTTCACAATTTTATAGTTTCAACAACATTAGAGTTTCAAACTTAAACCCCTTCCCTAAAATCAAAACAACAATTTAACATATTAAAAAATTCATAAATCCACTTTCACACCTCTTCACCCCATCACAATCATCACAAATTCACAAATATGTAACAACAAAGCCAATAACACAAGCAAATAAGCTCAAAACTAAAGAACCCCTTTGAGGCATTTTATCAAACACCTTCAAATCATATATTCCCAAACAAACTACAAAACCTAATCACATTCCAAATAACCTATCAAGTTAACATACAAACATATTCAACAATTCCATCAACATATCTCATTTCCATTAAACAAGATATTCAATATTAAAAAAATACCCTAATTTGAAAATGATTAAAAATTGGTAAAAATTGAAGTCCTAATTGAACAAATGTACTTTATTGACGGTAAAGAGACGGCAGCACGGCAGTAAGACGACAGTGCTCTTTTTTTTCTGACCGAAATCAACTCTCTTGCTCTCTCTTCTCTCGCTCTTTTCTTTTTTTTTTCGTTGATGCTGTCTGTTCGCGTAAGGAAAGGAGAAGAAGAAGAAGTTTTTTTTTATAATATTTAACTAAAAAACGTATTCAAGGAATACGGTTTTCTAATTATTTATTTGTAAACCGTATTTACGAAATACGGTTTCTAAAAATAAAAAAATAAATGATACGAGGATCCCAGATTGGGGACTCGAACCTGGGTCTGTGGGCGAGTCCGGTTTCTCTGGGCGCACCACGTACCATTTTGCCGCCAGGCACCTTGCGTTTATTTTTGCACAAATTATATACATATACATATATTATAAGTTCCAATACATTATATACTATATGTTTATTATATAGTATAATAATATACTATGTTATACTATATAGTATATAGTATATCATATACTATGTTATATTGTATTTCATTATTATATAAGATAGTAATATAATATATTTTATATTATATTAATATATTTTATAGTATATAATATAATATGTTACTATATATTATTATAACATGTTAATCTATTTTATAATATAACATATACATTATATTATAACATCTATGTTATATAATATAATATAACATATGTTATAATATAACATAGTAATATAATAACATATAGTAATATATTACTATGTTACTATATTATATTATAACATCTATGTTATAACATATATGTTATTATATAACACATATGTTATAACATATATGTTATTATATAACACATATGTTATAACATATGTGTTATATAATAACATATGTAATATATTAACATAGTAATATAATAACATAGTAATATAATATAATATAACATATGTTATATGTATAATAATATACATATAGTATAATAATATACTATGTTATACTATATAGTATATAGTATACAATATACTATGTTATATTATATTACATTATTATATACGATAGTAATATAATATATTATATAGTATATAATATAATATGTTATTATATATTATTATATAACATATATTATATAATATAACATGTTAATCTATGTTATAATATAACATATACGTTATATTATAACATAGATCAAATAATATAATATATGTTCTAATATATTACAATATGTTATAACATAAATCATATAAAGTATACTATAATATATTATATTATATTACTATGTTAATATATTACTATGGTAATATATTACTATGTTAATATATTACTATATTATAGTAACATAGTAATATTGTACAATAATATATGTTATATTATAATATACTATGTTATAACATATATGTTATATTATAACATCTATGTAATATTACTATATGTTATAACAGAGATCATATAAAGTATACTATATAATATAATATAGTAAGATTCTCTCGTCGGAGAGCGATAGCCATTCTCTCGTCGGAGAGCGTTTTTCTTTGTCGTCTTTCATCGCCATCATCTTCAGTTCCTCGGATTCCCGACCAGTTTTGTTGTTATAGTTGCGCTGTTTCGATTCTCCTTTCAGTTGTCTTAGTGTTGGGTCCCTGTTCTTTTTCCCCTCTTTTCTAGGGTTCCATGAGTACTCCAAATTGTGTGGGACAAGATGAGGATCTCTCGAAAAAACTGCAGGGAGTTTCCTTATTTGAGAAGGAGCATAACCTTATCGCCATTAGACGAGAATACATTAAAGTTAGTGTTGATGAATGCAAGAGGAGTTTGTTCGGGAAGATTGTTAGCGATCGTCAAACCAGTTGGATAGGTGTGAAACGAGTGATGAGCCACATATGGCGGCTATCTCAGCCCATGGAGATAAAGGATCTGGGGCCAAATTTCTTCCAATTTATCTTTCAGAGCTCAGACGATAAAGAAAAAGTGGCTAAAGGGACCAACTGGACTTACGAGAATCAGTACCTAGTGCTATCGGAATGGAAGAGAGGTCTATCAATCAACCACGTTGCATTCCAAGAGCTCAAACTCTGGGTTCAGGTATTCAATGTTCCTCTAGACTGGCTTAGTACCGAGGTAGGTCTGAAAATTGGGCAAGTTTTCAAGGATGTGCATAATGTGGTGATCGTGGGAGCAGGAAGTCATGGAGGTCGTATTATGCGGCTTCTGGTCTCAGTTGATTTGACAGAGCCACTTCCTCGTTGTGCCAACCTCATATTGGATGATCAAACGGCTAGTGTTGGTTTTAAGTATGAGCGTCTTGTTAATCTATGTCACTATTGTGGCTTAATTGGG